AAAAAAAAAAAACAACTAATAAAAATGGTTACCTGAGGTGGGGAGGGAGGCAGGAGGGAACATGAGGATGGATAGGGCGAGAGTAGGAGCAAGACTTCTGAAGTACATATTTCCTATTGTTTGTGAACTATGTGAACGGATCACCTATTCAAGAAGATTCTGACAGAAATATTTTATAGCTCATGGCTTCATCGGGCGCCTAAAGTGAATCAGACAAGAGTCAGAATGTGAAATTTCATACAAATCTTTAACAATCACCATGATAGCTTGTATTTCCAAAGACAACCTTCTTAGAAGGAACACTGAGGATTTTATCGATGTTAGGTGGTTACCTCCTTCGCGTCTTGGGAAGATGAGCCCGCACAACCTGGGGGACCCACAGGGGTGGGTCCTGACGACAGCAGGAACAACAAAAGCGGCAGCTGCTGGTTGTTGAATACACACTGGGGGCAACATACTGTGTTCATCTTCACGTTCATTATCTCACTTCTTCTCCAAATAACTTCATTTTAGAGATGAGGAAAATGAGAATCAGCAGGGTGAAAAAATCTGTCCAGACACGCTGTTGGTGATTGGCGGTATCTGGATTCTACTACATATTTTTCTGACTCCAAATTCTGTACTGTAATCAGGTTGGCAAATAAACCTCAGGCTGAAAGGACTTTCCTTCCACGCCCACGATGTTTCCAAGTTGAGAGGGATCTTACCCTCTATTCTCATACATTCAAAACAACTCTGGAGACCCCTGGTTCCACCATGGAATGTGGGCCTGGACTGGGGCGAGACTTAACGTTCCAAGCAGTTTAGTGGGCAGGCCCTCCCTTATCAAATTTCCAGTCTCACATGCAAGTTTCAGGAGGCCCTGCTCAGAGATAACCAACTTTCAGAAAGACTCAGGTTCCTACGGATTTGGGAGTCGGTCTGGCATTATAATAAAAGCTTATAAAATGCCAAGTCTTCACATTCCGTCTCTGTATCCCTAAGGTGTCCAACAGCCCTCTGTATGCAGTGGTTGTCTTTTAATATAGGGGATTCTGAAAGTCAACACTGATCTTCTTTCCACTGCCCCGTAATCCAGTCATTTCACATAAAAGTGTGTCATTTTAATGCCCAATTCTTTAGGGTAAATATTTATCTGTCTCCAAATTATGTATGAGAAAACAAAAATCTAAGTTTTCTCCACAGTGAACACAAGCTAAATTTAAAAACATGCCTTTGTGCAAACTTCTAGCACAATAAACAAGTTACCACATATTGAAATGATCTTAATCTGAATGTTTGAGGGATTTTTTCCTACTCAGGAATTCTGGAAAAACAAATGATAGTGTTTACTTCTAATTAAATAGACATTATTTTTTTTTTTTACTTGTTTTTTGTGTGTGTGAGTAAGACCAAGCCTGAGCTAACATCCCATGCCAATCTTCCTCTTTTTGCTGAGGAAGATCAGCCCTGGCCCAACATCCATGCCCATCTTCCTCTACTTTATATGGGACGTCGCCACAGCATGGCTTGATGAGCGGTGCATCGGTGCACGCCTGGGATCCGAACCAGTGAACCCTTGGGCCGCCGAAGTGGAGCGCGCTCACTTAACCACTGTGCCACTGGGCCGGCCCTAAATAGTATTATTATGTCATTTTTTTAAATCCCAAATGCTCTGTTGCAGTCATATCTACATCAGATGAAATTTTGAACTAAAGAATCTCTAAGGTCCCTTCTATGTGGAAGATACCATGAGTCCAAGCACATTAAATATTTAGATATATTAACTCATGTGGGCATGCAACGCCTTTAGGAGGCACGTTTTCTTATTGTCCCCATTTACAGATGAGGAAACCAAGGTACAGAAATATTAAGTGACTCTCCCAAGATCGCTGGGTTAGTAAATGGTGGAGGAGGGACTGTTGTGTGGATCTGGATTTCATGCTCTTAACTCCTGCATGGTACTGCCTGTAGCCATAGAAGAGGAAGTGCGTGCAGAGGGTAAGAGCTGAGACAGAAGGAGATGGAAGCAGAAGCTTGAGAGAAATAGCAACTCCAGATTAGATGCATATAAACTCATGGTATCTTCGAACTGTGTCAAGAAGAGCTAACCACCGGGCCGGCCCAGTTGTGCAGTGGTTAAGTTCGCATACTCCACTTTGGTGGCCCGGAGTTCTCAGGTTCGAATCCCCGGCGCAGAACTATGCACTTCTCATCAAGCCAGGCTGTGGTGGTGACCCACATACAAAATAGAGGAAGATGGGCACAGATGTTAGCTCAGGGCCAATCTTCCTCAGCAAAAGGAGAGGATTGGCAAAGGATGTTAGCTCAGGGCTGATCTTCCTCACCAAAAAAGAAAGAAGAGCTAAAAAGTACTACTATTTACTGGACTTTAAATATTGTGGAAATAACTACACATTTAAGGCAACTTGCTTAAAAATAATGTTAGTGTTGAGCAACAGGATTTAAGACCTATTTATGACTTCAGTGTACTACATTATACTTTTCCTATTTTACTTATGTTTTGAGGGAAGCGTGATTTTAATTATTGTAAAACAGAGTTCTATTATATGCTTTAAAAAGAAAAAGAAATGTTTTTAAGCTTGATTTTCAACTCGCATTACAAACAAGACTATAACTAAAGGGGAGAAATAAAATAAAGCAGGTTAGCTCTGGAAGTTTGGCACCGTGCTAAAACGTGCTGCCCAGAGGAAAAAACCACTAAACAGGCCTTAGTTTTTTTTAAAAGACATACGAGTAGAATTATTTTCAGTAACAAATAAAGTCTATTGTATTTACATAGATGTATCTAAGACTAACACGCTTTTGGATTTCTTTTGCTTGTTTTCTACGTAGTACACTTCATTTTTTGAGTTTAATCACCATCTAGAGTCTATAATGGACAAGGCATATATCTACAGGTAAAGTATAAGTCAGTATCCTTCGGGGGCAGGGGAGAAAGCAATGGTACAGCATTTTAGGCAGTATTTGGGAAGAATATGACCTCCCTACACAAGAAAGTGGATAATTTCAGATTTTTGGCTATATAAAATATAAGGTTATGTTCTAAAACAGATTTGAATAAACTGAAGTGAGATAAAGTGTCAAAGTCGTATTCGATTTTGGAAGAATAGAGGACTAAAAAAATTGGACTACGACCTGCTTCATTTAGAATAAGGACCGATAAACACGTTCTTTCTCAAGTTGACTTCACATCTCCCTCTTGACAATTCATTCTAATCTGAATTTCATTCATTTGCCACTCTGAACTTCTCTTGCACAGAGACCTGTAGTCTCAGTTAATCACAGCATACAGTCCCATGAGCTTTTCAGAGATATCCAGTTAAATCAGCGTGGCGTATTTTATGGGGCTCAAAGTGAAGAGGTGACCCTTGAGGCGTGTCTTTCAGAGGGCTGACTCATACCATCTGTGAAAAGAGAGGGAGATTCTTTTTCTACACTCTGTCAGTCGCAGTCAAGACACTGCTGTCAGAAAACATGCCATGGCACCATCATTTTCTACTGTACTAATGAGAATCAACAGCTCGCAAATTTAAAGCAAAGAGATTCAGTGGAGACTTTAAGGAAAAGGAAATGTTAAAATAGGCTGTATTCCAGAAACAACATGAGTCCTTACTTTGCATTTATTCTCCTTGACAGAGTCATTCGAACAACTGGATATTTGCTGTTCACTCTGCACATTAATGCCTGTATTTATTACTGGGCTTCAAACTATGAAGGAATTGGAACTACTAGATGGGTGTATGATGGTGAAGGAAACAAGTAAGCTTTCATTTTGAAGCAAACTTTTATTGATTCTTCTTAACTTTCTGTTTCAATGGATGAGTTTTCTTAAACCAGTGTTTTGAAACTATAAGTCATAATCCACTATTGGGCAGTAAAAACTCTTCAGTAGGTCAGTATGTTCTTAAGTGAAAAAGGGTAGAGTAGAGGAGAGTGGAATAGAAAATATGAGACTCTGAAGTACCCAGTAGGAGTGTGTGTGTGTGTGTGTGTGTGTGTGTGTGTTTGTGTGTGTGTCCTGGGTGGACCTGGGAAATGCATTTCTTATTCTAGATCATGATCAGAAAAGTTCAAAAGCCTCTGCTTTAGACAACTGAGCAGTAAGGTAACTTTTAATAACTCCAATGCTGATTGTTAGTAATAAACCATGTTAATTATTCCAAGGGTAGGTGCAGTGGGTAATTAGTTTACCACTGAAGGATTTTATGGTTTTATGAGTCAGCTATAACCACTAACTCAATTAAACACTTAGAGAGTAACAAGGATCATAAATTAAACTTGACAATTAGATATGCAAGTGTCTCAGGAATAAAAGAGATCATTTGAAAAATTTAGCACAGCAGAATCAGGACTCAGTAATGGCAACTGGGCTGTTTAATAGTGACATTTCCTTTCAGTAGATACAAGAGCCTGGCATAAAGTAAACTCTGCCAGCTTTCTGCTCCGATGACATGACATTGAGCATCTTACAAGGCAATGTCCTTACTGGAAAAGAGCAGGTCCCAGCGTGACTTTGAAGGGCAGCTCACAGCAGCCTTGGGAAGGAAAGCAATTACAGGACAGAGCAAAGAGAGTCAAGATACCTCAGGAAATTACACTCTACCTAGAGTGGGCGGGATGTGTATGAGGAATTTTAACAACATTTTTGGAACTTTTAACCAGAACCGATTTTAAAAATTTAAAACGTCAGAAGGCCAACTGATTGGGAACACGCACACACACATACGTACACACAGAATAGCTATTCCTGGAAAGTTTATAACCAAATCGATAAGTAATACCCTTTAGAATGTGGATTAATTTATGTATTTAGTTTAATATAAATAACTAATTTATATAGAAAATTGACTAAGGTACCAACTGTATTAAATATTGCCCAAAAGTGAGTATGTAATCCAATATCACTAGATGCCTGAGGCTGATAACTGTTTTTATCAAATTAGCAAAATAATATAGAGCTGCATCAGAGTGCCTTCCAGAAGAAGTGGAGCTGGGTCTCTTCTCACCCTGGATGCCTCTCTGCAGCATCTCTGGAGAAGGTGTCTTGTTCCCAGTGCCCAGAATATCGTGAAGTAAATAACAAACTCTCAATACACGTTAGGTATTTAAAGGAGGCAGGAAGGAAGAGAGAGGGGGAGTAAGAAAAAAAGGAAGAAATGACCAAATCTGTATTATAACAATAAGAAAGAAATCTCAGCTTCAACTCATAAGAAACTTAATCCAGAGTGTGCTAATATTTTAGGCTTCTAATTCCAGCTATAGTGCAGACCGGATATCCAAAGTGGTCCCTCTCTAAGATAAATTACCTGTAATTTTTGTCATAAAATTACTTGTAATTACTTATATAATGTAAATGAGATACATTTCTTAGATAAATTACAATTACCACAGTTTTCAATGATTGCAGAATTCTCTAGAAAGTAAGAAGAATCTCCGAAGTCTAGAAAACAAAAGTGCATACTGAAGCTGGAGTAGGATAAAGTGGTGAGATCACCACTAAGGAACAGAAATAGAGAGGGTAACTTCTTTATTCATAGAAGAAAAAAATGGAATAAGAAAACTAAAAGAGAAACTCAATCAGTCAAAAAAAAGACAAGAAAGTGGTCAGGAGAAATATGGAAAGACAGCAAGACAAAAAGAAAGCATGAAGTACGATGATAGAAACAACTTAAAATATATCAGTAAGCACAATAAATTAATATGGACTAAATTCCCCAACTAAGAGAGATTGTCAATGAATATTAGTCAAAATAGGCTTTCAAACAAAAATCATTTTAGGGAAAAAGAAGGTCTCCATATAACAGTAAAAGCTTCAATTCACCATCAATATAGTATCCCAATTCTAAATGTGTGTTCAACTAATAAAATACTTATAATAAATCAAAGAAGTTCATAAAGCAAAAATTAATAGAAGGAAGAGAGATTGGCAAATACACCATCAACGTGTGAGACACACACCACTGTCGATTAATCGAGCAACCAAAAGCAATTAGTAAAGATATAAAAGATTTGAGAACCCAAATAACGAACTTGATTCAACGGAAAGAAATAGAACGTTGCACCCAAGAATTAAAAATCACTCTTTCTTCTTAATCACTCACAGAAAAATTTCAAAAGGTGATCGTTTTCTAGGTCACAAAGCAAGTTTCAGTACATTTCACAGCATTTGTATCAAACATATCACATTCTCTAACTATAAAGATAAGCATCACCCCATCGGCTCTGCCCTGCTCGTTCAGATAGGAGGGTTCCCACTCAAAATCAAAGCTCCAATAATCCTTTACCAACTGTCAGAGACAAAGGTTGTCGTCCTTACAAAAAAAATGCCTTTAAAAGCAGCATTTTTACGTATTTTTAAGGTAATTTGCATATGGCGGTTAGTAATATACTTACATTTTCCTCACAGTTTTCAAACATCACCTGCCCCTTCTATTGCTTCATATTACCCTTTGACCTTGTAAGCCTAAAGCATTTTTACTTAACGTTTGTGATGGTTTCTGACGACCTATAAATTGAAGAATGCTTATGAGGCCATTGGATTTGTAAACTTTGCCCTAGTTAGAATTAGGCAGCAAATTGTAGGGCTGGAGCGGAGCATTGTGAATATTTAAAATGAGAGTCAAGTTTATTACTATTCCATTAATCCTCAGCAGAATGACAATGTCTATTCATTTCAATAGAAGACAAGAAGTCATTTTCACCTATACTGAGTAGATGGCATCCTTCACTAGACTGTGAAATTTAACAAAGAAGAAAAGGGCTTAGCTCAAAAGGAAAACATAAGTAGTTCAGGTTATTTGGTACCCAGAAACATTCCCAGCATACTTTTGTCCATGTATACCCCAATTCATTTATTTTCTCACATTAATTTCCCACTGTGCACAAACCTCTTAGCAAATCCCTAACCCATAGATCCTCAAAGGAAAGAGTAAAAAGGCAAGCAAGGCTGTCAGGGGAATCCTGACTTTAGATGGGGTGAGGAAGAAATCAGAATTACTATACCTTAGTGCTAGGGAAATTCAGAATAACTTACCCCTTCATTCTACACGTGAAGATGGCGAGGCCTGGGTAGATGAAGGTATTTACTCAGGGTCCCCTAGGTACTTCAGTTCAGACACTGGCAAAAAAAAAAAAAAAAAAAAAGAATGGTCTTTAATCTGGACACTAGACACCTTTTGGATGTAACAAAAACACACAATAGCAGAGAGTTCAGTGCACCAGAAGGGAGATGAAAGACAGCTGGCAGCATAACAGGGAAGAGTCTGGAAGGGGATTACACAGATGTGCTCACAGATACCATCTTCCTGTATTCTAATTTCAGTAAGACTAGGTATGCATAACCATTCACTTGTTCACTCATAACATTCAACACATGTTACTACACTCCTATTGTGCCAGCTCCATAAACACGTGTCTTTGTGGAGATTATGCTCTAATGAGACTGTTCTCCCCCATCCTCTGTGCTTCCAGTGATAAATTTACAGAACCCTGGAACTAAGATGGATTGGGATAGTTAAGAAGATCCACACATAAAGTGTTGAATTGGGTGCTTTTAAAAGTTGCATGTCCCACTACACATCTACCACAATGGCTAAAATTAAAAACACTGACAGTACCAAGTGTTGGGGTAAGAATACAGAGCAAATGGAATTCTCATACATTGTTGAAGGGAATGAAAAATGGTACAACCACTTTGGGAAAAGATCTGACGGTTTATTTTACAATTAAACATACACCTACCTTACAAACAAAAATTCCAAGCCTAAATATTTACCCAAGAGAAATAAAAATATATGTCTATAACCGGGGTCAGCCCAGGGCATAGCAGTTAAGTTTGCATGCTCCACTTCAGCGGCCCGGGGTTTACTGGTTCACATCCTGGGTATGGACATATGCACCACTCACCAAGCCATGCTGAGGCAGCATCCCACACAGAGCAACTAGAAGGATGCACAACTATGACATACAACTCTCTACTGGGGCTTTGGGGAGAAAAAAAAGGAAAAAAGGAGGAAAATTGGCAACAGATGTTAGATCAGGGCCAATCTTCCTCAAAAAAATATATATTAAATATATATATATGTCTATAAAAAACTTACATAAGTATATCCATAGAAGGTCTTTTCACAATAACCAAAAACTTGAGACAGCCTATGTGTTCATCCATAGGAGAACAGAGAAACTGTGCTATATTCATACAATGGATACTACTCAACAAGAAAAAGGAATAAACTACTGATACGCACAGCAACATGGAGAAACCTCAAAAACATTATTCTGGGTGAAAGACCTCTTACACAAAAGTGTACATAGCTGGGGACAAGAATTGACTGGGAAAAAGCAAGAGAGAACTTTCTGGAGTGATAGAAACGCTCTGTCTGGACAGGTGTTGGGTTACACAGGTGTATGCATTTACCAAAACTCATCAAATGCTACACTTAAAATTTGTGCTTTTATTGTACATTCAAAATTTAAAAACAACTATACAAATATTCAACTCTAGTTAATGTTGACACAAATAACCCATAATCAATCTATAAATCAAAATTGGGGTGAGTTTATTATGAGCCAGATCTGAGGACTAGCCCAGGATCCTCCTTCCCCAAGGAAGGAAGGGCACCAAAGATGTGGGCTGTACAGAGTGGTTATATACCATCGTGGAACAAAGAGCATACATCATGTATGACAGGAATATCTCTTTTACTACTGTCATGAGATGCTTAGCTGGCACAGCAGGTCGGAGGTCAGCAGGTCAGTGGTCACAAGGTGAGCACAGCAGATCAGTAGTTAATCCTTTGTTTAGGGAGAGATGCTTATCCTAAAGGAAACGCCGATATCGGGGAAGCTACATCCCTATCTTTAGGGGCATCATTCTTGTCTTTGGGACATTGTAAATGTTTAAAGCAGATGCACAATGCGTGCTCATCAGGCCACGTCAGGCCCTTTTGGAAAAACAAGGTCAGGCCGAATTAGTTTTAACCCGAATGGCTTCCTTATATGCTCCAATATATCCTATTGCTTTTCATTTATTTATCATTAATATATATAGATTCTGAAGTACTGTGTTTAGGAGGAATTGTCTTCTTGTCTGCAAATTACTTTGAAATGCATCCCAAAAATAAGATGGATTGATGGATGAAAAAATGGAGGGATATGGGACAAATCAGGTAGAGTAAAATGTTCTTGGTAGAATCCAGACAGTGGATATACGAATGTTCACTATAAAATTCTTTCAATTTTTCTATTTGTTTGAAATTTTTCATAACAAAATGCTAGGGGGAAAGTTTCGTGACACATTTGTTTCACAGAGGAAGAATTTCTATTTTCATGCTAAATTTTTTTATGGTTTTATGTCAAATTCTGCCTTATTGCTTCAACTCAGAGCTGTATATATACAGCCTGTTAGATTGTTCATGTATTAAATCAGCCAGATAGAATCTCCTTGAAAATATCTGCCTGGGGTATAAATATTAGAGTTGGACACACTTGACTAATTAAGCTAATCCTAGAAAATCAATAAGATGCCATCTAATTAAATTACAAATCTTACCTTTGGTTGTGCATGTCTGGGTGTAAGACTTGGCTGAGAAAGAATCCCAAAATAAACTTCAAAGCATCGGGGCAGAAAACTTCCAACTAACACAGCGGACTATTTCATACACAAAAAAATAGCTCAGGGCTAAGCCTTCGGATTTGGAAAATCAATGCCAAAGTTTCACATTTGATTGTTATTTTTCAACATCTATAAATGAGAGAATAAGAGAAAGTATTCATATGTTTGTTCCTGTTAACACTGCAGTGACTTTGGAGGGGACAATAATCCCAACACTTGTAATGGAATTGGCCACGTGGGGAGAGAATCTATTTCCTGTCCCACTCTTGGGCAGTATTGGGTTCAATAAATTTCCTTAATTTAAAGGGACCCACAGGTCCAGGACCTGTGACCAAACTAAATCAGGTAACGGGAAATTATAAATTGTAATTTGAAAAGTTAAAATGTAATTCATAAAATTAATTTTGTACTTCTTCAAGGTAGTTCTCTGACATCAAGTTCACTATAATATTAGCAAGTCCCAGGAAGCCTCCTAGAATGGTAATATTTTTATTCTCTTGGCACAGTGGTTTCAAACTATATCCACCAGGTTAAAAAAAAACTCAGGTCCTTCAAAAGATATTGAATTTCAAAATGAGTAATTTCTTTCTAAATCTGTCTTTAAATGAATATTGACTTCAACTTCAGTTACTTTCTTTCTTTGTAAACCTCAACTTCTTACTATTTAAAGACCTGAAAATTGTAAACTATTTTCACAAGAAAAAGATTGCTCTTGTTCAAAGACTAATACACAATTACTTAAAGTGTTAATGTTTCTGTGGCACACCCAGACAAGAAATAAAAACCTGACTAAGGCAGGATCCTATAAAAAGCCCTGCTTTTCTGTGTCTACTCTGGATACTAGACTAGCTAGTTGGAACCCACTAAATCCAAATGCCTCTCTATAACAATATCTGGAGATGTTCTCTATATACAGGGCATTTTTCTTTAAGGATTCAATGGGAATGCCTAACCCAGGCCATGTTATCAGACCTACATAGAATATAGCAAATAGTGTACCTAGTCCTGCACAAAAATTACAACATTATATATATATATATATATATATATATATACATAGCAGGGTTGTAATACTGACTTCCATTTCCACCTCACTATGGACTCCATGAAACCCTTAGCCAAATGGAGCTAAGTGAGTCTGATATGTTCTGTCCCAGTCTTTATCATATCCGCTTCTGTTGCCCTCTTCCTGATTCCCTTCCTATCTGAACTGTAATGATCTTAGTCTCTCCATTTGCAATTGCTCAAGTTAAGTACAGAATCTTTATCAAGTATATTTCTCAGCATATGTGGTTTTCTTCAATACTAAATTTCTAGATAAATTACCTGTTACGCCCAAGAGTAGTTTCCCTTTTAAGATGGAGTTCAGTTCTGCTCTGTCTCTGCCATGGTTTACACATTCAATAATATAATAAGATGTGGGTAGGAAAGAGGGAGGAGGTATATACTTGTTCTGTTTTCCATCCTTAAGAACAATTGGATCTAAACTGTGAAAGGCTCTCCCATCTATATAAGTATCCTTGATCTCTGCAATATTCCTCATAAATCACTAGTATGGTAGTTGAAAGATGGCCTCAAATTCTTTTCTCCTTCTCTCATGGAGAGGAGGATTCCAATATCCCTTCCCTTGGATCTGGGCTGGACCTAGTGACTTTCTTGACAAATATAATGTGTCATAAGACACATAAGACATTATGGGACTTCTGAGTTATAAGAAGCCTTACAACTACTACCTGGGCTACTGCTGTTCTGGGGGAAACCAGCCACCATGTAGACATCCATCTACCCTGAGGCTGCCACGCTGTGAGGAAGCCCAAGCGAGTTATATTGAAAGGCTAAATGAAAAGAGAAAGATATGCAGCCAGCCTCAGCTGTTCCAACCAGCCCAGCCCAGCCTCAGACATGTGAGAGAAAAAGAACCTTGGGCATTCCAAGCAGACATAATGTGAAGAGCAGAGGAACCCAACCAACAGTTAGAGTCCAGGCCCCAGACATACGGCTTCAATCAAGTCTACCCAGGATCTCCAGCCATTCAGGTCGCCCCAGGGCTCCTCATCATGGGGCATGGATGAGCCGTCTCTGCTGGGCCTTGCGCAAATTCCTGACTCACAGAATTACGAGCCTAATAAAATAGTTGTTGTTTTATACCACTAAATTTTGCAGTGATTTGTTTTACAGCAAGAGATAAGTAGAAGAGCTAGTGAACGCCCTCTTTGGGTTTAATTGTTTAGTTATTTTACATGCCAAGAAGTTTACATTAGTATGTATAGTACTTGCCAACGCTGCTTATAGAAAGAAAATCTTGGTTTAGTGGTAATCTACAATTTAGATTTATTTATTTAAATTTATTATTTAAATTTAGTGGTAATGGATACTCCCAAGCATTGTGGTATTTTAATGTTATAGTAAAAAGCAAAATATATATCTTCTCTTTTCGCAGGTATCTGAGATGTTATTATTGGGCAGTTCGCACTTTAATTACCATCGGGGGCCTTCCAGAACCACAAACTACCTTTGAAATTGTTTTTCAACTGTTGAATTTTTTTTCGGGAGTTTTTGTGTTCTCCAGCTTAATCGGTCAGGTAAATTGAGATGTGAATCCCTAGATACAATGCTGTCATTTTTGAGAGGTTAATAAGTCTTTATAAATTTGACAGAGGAAAAATCAAAATCTATCTGGTGCTTATTTTTTCACTAATTTTCATCTATTTTAATGAATTTGAGGAAGATGCAAATGGGTCAACATTGCCTTCCAATTTTTAAATCATTAAATCTACCAGAAAACCCATCCACAATGAGTGTCAGGTTAAACTCTCAAAGTCAAATTTCTGAGTTAACTTCTTGGAGTTTCCCAAAAAAGCTCTCTTCTTTACTTACATGTCAAATATTGTCATAGAATCCCTGGGTTAAAATCAACTTCAGAGGTCGTTTAAACTAGAAGCTACAAATGGCATCTAAATTCCTTTAATTAATAAATCACTGGTCCATAAATATTCATTATTGCATCTCCTTGTTCTTATTCTCAAGGAATCACAATCTAGTAAGAAAGTAAAACAAATACACAAATTTTTGAGGTACTTGGCATTTGCAAGGGGTAGAGCCCAATATCTTTGTGAATTCCCAGATTTGCAAGAAATAAAAAGCTCAACAGCATAGCATCTTGAGAAGTTATACTTGCTTGGAAGGTACTTTATACACTACATGTCTGAGAACAAAACAACCATGTTGAGATTTGTGTACTGGGTAAAGAGTTAGACAAAATCACAAAATGATTATTCCCACTGGATAAAGGATTGGTTCCCACTCATGGCATTCACAATGGTATGAATAAAATCCAGGCTTTAACAAAATTTAGCAATAAAAACTATTCTTTATAACATTTGAAGCTGATCACAAATAGTCAAAACTCAAATCCTACATCCATGAATGTCAAGGGTCTGCTGTCCATGGTAAGTATCAGAGGAGAGCTTGAAAGCCTTGTATTCATTCAGAAAAGGGAAGCTTCCCAGGGGGTCTCATGGAGGAGAACACATTTGAACCATCTTAGAAAACCAGATAGGATTCAGCAGTTATAGATGAGTAGTTTAATCACTCAGAAACAGTGTGTGAAAGATGGCAATGACAAAGGAAATAAAAAGATTACCAGGACTGGAGTGAAGGATGCTTATAAATAAGGTTATAGATGTATGTAAGCACAAAATATTTTAAGGGCTCTGAATGTTAAATTAAAGATGTTGACTTTATCCTAAAGGCAATGGGAAGTCGACCAGGGGAGGATTTTGAACAAAGAAGAGATTCAGGGAAGAATAATCAAAATATAATATGGGGGCCTAAGTGTTCACGCTCTGCTGCTGGCGGCCCAGGTTCAGATCCCAGGCGTGCACCGACGCACCGCTTGTCAGGCCATGCTGTGGTGGCGTCCCACGTAAAGTGGAGGAAGATGGGCATGGATGTTAGCCCAGGGCCAGTCTTCCTCAGCAAAAAAGAGGAGGATTGGCAACAGATGTTAGCTCAGGGCTGA